GAAAGCAGGCTGACGCCCCTTCACCAATGTCTGATAAAAGGAAACGATTCGTTTGAGAAAGTGAAAAAAAACGACCTTGTATACCTATTTGCAGGTCTCCGCCGAATACAGAGACAGAAGATTGCGAAGGACGATGATAAGTTACATATTAAAGCTATCTGCACACAATATAATGATGAAAATAAATGTGCATAATTAAACTGTTTTACAGGAGAATTGTGCTAAAAGAATGATCAACTTTTAAATAATTTTCTTATATTAACATCGTATTGTTGTAGCAGTCGTCAGTGGCGCGAGTATAGACTGGAAAGAGGAGAAGCTTCTATCTCGAATGAAATTTGGAATATGGTACTTCAATTAGTCAAAAAATACCTAGAATTGTGTGTAAGCTAGCACTCGCCAATTAGCTGCGTTGTTCATCAGAAATCTCTCCTATACGCAGCCAGTAAGAAGCAGATTGATTTGCGAGGGTATCACCAATATCAAATCAACCTCTTTCAATAACGTAGCAATGCTTCAGAGTGATTCGATTTGATTTGATAGAGATCCAGGCTTTTAACTGGACCACACTTGTGACTTTTTTCTTTGAAAAGAATCGCAACAACAGAGGCATGTACAGAATCTTCATATCGTCCGCTTTTAGAAAATATATAACTTGTCAGGGAAAATATTTTATTCAACTTTGCGAGGGTGGGTGAATATTTTTGTACTGCGATGTTCAGCTACCTTAAGAACATCAAGGTGCCGACAGGGGACCTGGATATTGCAGTACAAATATATTCACCCACCCTCGCAAAGTTGAATAAGATATTTTCCGTGACAAGTTATATATTCTCTGAAAGCAGATGATATGAGGATTCTGTATATGCTCCTGATGTTGCGATTCGTTTTGAAAGAAAAAATTTACAAGTGTTCATCTCTAGGAGACGTGGTCCAGTTAAAAGCCTGGATCTCTTTCAAATCAAATCGAATCACGCTGAAACCTTGCTAATTTATTGAGAGAGGTTGACTTAATATTGCTAATACCCTCGCAAATCAATCTGATGTACAACGCAGCTAAGTGGCGAGTGCTAGCTTACACACCATTCTCGGTATTTTTTGACTAATTGAAGTGAGGTACTACGTTTTAAACATCATTTGAAAGAGAGATTCTCTCTTTTTGTCTATACTCGCGCAACTGACGACTGCTACAGTAGCACGATTCCAGTTCAAGAAAAATGACTTAGAAGTCATAATCATTCTTAGCACAATTCTCCTGTAGAAACAGCTCAACTATGCATAGTTTATTCTCATAATTATATTGTTATAATGCAAGTATATTTAATCTGTATATTTATCATCATCATTCGCAATCTTCAGTCCCTGCATTCGGCAAAGGATCTGCAATTAGGTTTAAAGATCGTTTTTTAAAAATCTTCCTCAAGTCTTTTACTTCTTAATCGATTAATCTAACAAACATTGCATAGAAACTTTAATGGTACCAGGAAATTGCCTCCCCCCTCCCCCCTCCCGGTCAACGACCCTTCACCTAGAGAGCTGAAATTGTTTTGACTCCCTTCACCGAACAGGGCCGATGTTCACCTTATCGCACATATGCATGCAAGTTTGCCTTTTTGCGTGTGTGGGTAGCTGCGTCATTTCAGCGAATGTGAAGTGATGCAGCTACCTATGCACGCACAACAGTTCATTTCAGTTTTCGCGCATAAACTATATGTGGTTCCAGTGAATGAGAGAATCTCAGTCATCAGAGGTTTTAGTGGAACAATGATGTTTTCCATAAAGTAGGATACCTGCAACCTTTTGAGATCTAATGAATATTTGCATAACTTATAAGTTTGACTTCAGATTTCAATAGCATTATATAATCTCTTACTAATGACATACTTCTTGGCGGTGATTCAAGTCCGATGTTAATCATGTTGTAGTACAATTTTGTCTGCTAATCATCGTGCCAAATTTTAGGAGCGAGTCTTCCAGCTTCCTCTCTTCGAGAAAATTGTCGAAATGGACGGCAACGCTAGATTCAGACCTGTGCCACCGGAACGAATCAAGCCCTTATACAACAGAATTCTTCGGGGTGGGCAGTGGATACGGATGAGGTATGCTTTTGCGACAATATGTTTGCATGAATTACTTCTTCGCATCTATCATGTCCTGCCTTTGTTACAGGAAAGGAGAGCAGAAAGCTAGGAAAGATAGAGAGTGCAACACACCGGAGGCTGTGTACAAAGCAAAACTCGTTAGTCTTTTATTGAAAACTCGCTTCTCTCTGACAACGCTTGAGGTGAATGATACTTTCACACAGGCATGCAACTTTCTGCTGAAGCTTATCGGAAGGGAGAGAAGCTGTCAGAAATCTCACCTGGTTCGTTGTTATCTCTTTCTCCTAAGCTTGCTACTTCGACTAGCCCACTTACTCACTTCCTATTCGTCCAGTACTAAGTGAATTCTAAAGTTGTACTTATCAGAAAGCACTAGGGGTTAGAAAGTGGAGGAAAGAAGTAAAGGAATTGCTGCAGTGCGACAGAGTCGTTCCAGCATGTAATACATTTCAGAGCATGAAAGATGTTTTAGATTTTGTGCTGCATCCAATCAAGATAAGGCGCTATATTTGATATTTCCATAGGTTGAGTGGCAGTCAGTTCAAAAGAGGTATGCTGAGATGTTTGCTGATGAAAATAGTGAAGACGGAAAACTTATGGAAACCTTCAAGGCTTATGGCTTGGAGTTCAGCCAGTCAAACTTGAATAACGAGGTGTGCTTGTCCTTTGTTCTCTAAGTTCAATTTTTAAAAAAA